AATCTTTGAAGCTAGATCCCTGTTTCGAAGAAGAGACAATCTTAAGAACACTAATTGCGTTCACGGCTTTTCAAGGGAAAACAAGTCCCCTTTCGACCTCTTTTTCTTGATAGCATGCGTTCCATCGAAAACCTATTTTTTAATGTGTAAATAAATAGATAAAATCTCAGAATTCGACCGTACAACTGAAACCTCCTTTGTTTTCTTTTACTTGGTGTACCAGGAGCCTGAGTGTACAGTCGACTCCCGATAACTCGAACCTTCAAGGGAAATCGAAAAAGTTCGAGTTATCGGGAGTTCGAGTTATCGGCAGCTCAAAGAAAATAGCCGAGAGTAAGGTAAAAAACAGTTTTTTCTGCACTGTGAACATTTTAATCACATTTAATTGTAGAAATGTCAAGTGAAAATTAAAAGATGCTTCTAGATTATAAATCAGAACGTAACGTAACAAAACATAGCCTAAACAGAGCATGGGTTTTACTGTTTTGAGAAGTAAAGCTGCTTCACGTTAGCCTGTGACAATCAACATCAGCCTCCATTAGTAGACTATACTCCTACAACACGTTAATAGGAAATCTAAAATTCAATGTTTCGGACGCCAGTAGACTGCTTTTTCCCGACTTTTTAAGGGCTCAAAACATGGTTCGAGTTATCGAGGGTAAAATTTTATAGAAAATGACCTGAGGAGAAACGAAAACTGGTTCGAGTTAGCGGGAGTTCGAGTTATCGAGGGTTCGAGTTACCGAGGGTAAAATTACAGTAAATGTATGACGTAAATCCAGGAGAAATCGATTTTGGCTCGAGTTAGCGCGAGGTTCGAGTTAGCGAGGGTTCGAGTTATCGAGAGTCGACTGTACTTATTTTTCACAGGAAGAAGTTAATAAAATTTAAAAATTTGGGAGTGAAAAGACAACCAACCGGCCTTGTCCGTAGGGACTCCAGGCCTTTTTCCCATTGAAAAGTGAAAGGGGGAAACAGGACAACCTGATCGGAGGTTAGAAAGGACCAAGTTCGATTTTTTTTCTCAAAAAAATTATACCCGGCTTCAGAAGGAACAGAAAAAAAAAAGAATGCATTGTTCATCTCTTAATTATCTTCATTTTTTTTATTTAGCCTGTGTACAGATGTCCCCCCTCCCTCAGAAAAAATCGGGAGATCTTTTTTCTGAGGGAGGGGGGACGTCTGTACACATTTTACTTGAAAAGTGGAGCCACTGACCAGCAAGTACTACTTGAATACCCGTCACCACCATGTTGTCACGTGACTAGTAAATTTTAATAACGGTAGGATGTGGATAGCGTAAGTTCGAGTGCGGAATTTTCGTTGTGTCATAAACAACTTCAGTGTGTGGCAGGCTTCCTGCTTCATACCACAAGCTGGGAAAAAGGCCAAGAAAGTGAGTTCAACCTTGACAGTGAAAGGAAAAAGCAATGGTTATGAATAACGACACTCTGAAGCAGGGAACGCCGACTCATGCTAGACAACTCGCGGAGAGCGACGACATTGCTAGCAGTTTGGTCTTAGACTCGACGCTGGGTTTTACCACGCATAAAATGGCCACCAGATTTCGTCCTCTGAAGGTGGATCAAGAAATCGTAAAGAAGGCACTCGAGCGATACGCCAAAGACGGAGACACAGAGCAAGCTTACAACGAAATTGTCTTCAACGGGGGGGATTGGGGGCGATGCTACTTCATCACAAAATCCAAAACTCAGATTGCGGCCTTCAAGGAACACGTAAGTTTATATATTTTGGTCCACAGTCAAAATTCTTTTCTTCCTTTATGTTATTTTCCTTCTCCGAAAGTGCAGCGTATTTTGAACTGATTTGAAGGAGCTTTCGTATTTCGATTTGTAAACGCGTGTTCCGCTTTGTGTTGCAAAGAGCTTTACTACGACTTAAAAAAACTTTTGTGTGTTCCTAATTTATGCACGAAGCGGTTTTATTGTTTTATTTTCAGGTATCCAACTCTTGCATGTCAAATCTAATGTTCGGATTTGAATTTTCACCGAACGTCATCGGCTAGATTTTTTCGGTTTGATATTTTTGACTTCCGTTGTAAATCGAAATTCAATATGGGGGTTTGGAAATGACGTAATCGTGCGCTGAGATGATTTCGGTGCCGGCGTGCCGTTTCACAATGCATTTTGTGTCCCCCACATCAGCCAAAAGCAAAGCGCACTTGATTACAGAACTTTTCCTATATATGAATCATTAATCCAAGTGATCTTGATATTTACATGGCTATAGGCGAATCTTTGCAGATGTCATTGTTTACATTTTTTCTCATTAGAATACGAAGAATCTGTGGCCATATAATTATACCAACTAAATTCAGAAGTTGAAAGAGCTGATGAACTTGAGCAATTTGTGCAATTTTCAGCTCTTTGCAAGTAATATTGAAGAAATATCAGCCATTGAAAACTGCAAAATTGCTGGGTGGCAAAACAGTTAATTAGCTATATATAATCAGATAATTTCTCCGAAACCATTCGGCATAGCAGGCTCAAATTTTCAGAGATAACTGAAATTGTTATGCTCTTTCAATATTCAGAGGTTTTATTTTATTAGCTTTATCAGATAATGATAAGCATATATTAATTAGGCAAAAAATATAAATAAATATTTGCCTATAAAAATACAAATTAAGGACTCACTTTGGAAAAGTGTGATAGCCTGGAATCTAGAGAAAGGGCGATAGGAACTTCAATTCACACAGTAATATTGTCGCATGACTAGCGTATAACTCAAATTACACAACATCAGTTGTGAACAGGATAATCTGTGAGAGGCTTTTTTCAATAAAGCAGCAATCAGTAAAACAGACATCAGGATAAATAATATTGTAACTTTAGTTTTGGGTTTGTAAAGTGCTTTGTATGGTGTGTTGCATCCCTCCAAATAATCCTCCAAGTGCCTGTGCATCCGCTTTCAACCCAGGTTACCACTCTTTTCCATAGTGAACTGTATAGACCAATAGATCAGTGGTATAGTTTACTGTTCTCACTTTCATCCACTTTGATGAAGAAGGACAGAAATAAAAGGTGACATGTTTTTCTTTTGATTGTATGCAAAACAATAGTTCTTTGATCTTTAACAGCTTCTTCTTCTCGACTATACAAACAGGTTCCTTTATAAAGGAATCAGCCTTACATTACTCTTTGTTTTCACTTAGAATACATTAGCAAATGTCTACAAATTAAATGCTTTTTTTCTGCATTAGGTTTTCAGATACATTGGGATTTTTAATTCAAACTCTGGTTTTAAAGTCGTGCCTTGTGACCGATATTCTGGTGAGGAACGAGGTGCAAAAGTTGTGTCTACATGTGATTGGTAAGTAGATCTTAATAGTTGTCTTCAAAAGTGCTTTTCCTCTCAGGGCTCAGAAATATACGAAAAATGAAATAACTTGCTCACAGTCAAGTCCTAACTGATTGAAATCTGTCATCCTGGTCTTGCTTCAAGGAATGATTCAACTGTGGCAGGATTAGGTCAGTCAGTAGAGCGCTTGACTGCAGAGCGAGAGGTCGCAGGTTCAATTCCCGGGGCCGGACCAATACTTAAAATAACTTAGAAATGTAGGTACAGTTTTCTTTGCCCTGCAGGCGGCTGGACGTTTGCGTGGCTCAGATGACCACGTAAAATGGCGGTCCCGTCTCCATTAGGAGACGTAATAATAGTGTCTCCAGTTAGCGCTTCCATGCTAAATACATTGACACCGAAATAAAGTGCCTTTTTTTGATAGACTCATAGTTTTAAAATTGAGTTTTGGTTGGAAATATGAAATTTGCAGGGTGTTATGAGTGTTGGCCACACGTTGAAAGTGATTCAAGGGTCTTGAGAACTCAAAAATGGCCTATCCTGACAAACACTTGATACTATTAATATTACAAGGCTTGAAAAAACTTGAATTTGAGCTTGTGCTGTGGGAAAGCAGCTCTCATATTCTGCTTGTCTAGGGCCACTTCTTGCTTGTCTTAGTTAATGATTTGTTAGGGGATGACTGGCCTAGACCCTGCCCACGGGGCAAAATAGCTTAAAAAGTTACTTGCCCAGGAAGAAAATGTACTTGTGTCAGACTACCAGACAGGACTTTTTTCTTGGTGGATCGATTGTTATTACAGGCACATTTAACTGTGTCAAACTTTCAGTGTGTTATCCAATGCCTAAGTTTAAAATCTACTGTTATCTACAGATAGCCCAGAGTTGTGCTCTAGCAGCACCCAGAGGCCCGTAGCACCTTGCTTTTGCTCTCGCGTGACTAGAAAATCTCAGTTTTTGTTTAGAAATCATATGCTAGGCAGCCTGGATTTCACAGGTTCAGAGCATTGGGCTCCCTAGAATTTCTCTTAGAGCACAGCCTTGTAGCCAATATAGTGTTTTTATTGTGGGACTGTGTTGCAGCAGAGGCCAGTGGCGGCTAGTGAGGTACTTTAATATACCATAGGGCATGGAGGAAATATTAGCCTTTGCAAAAGACTTGATGCTGTACATTGTATATGCCAGGCACCCTCATAGATTATTATTTTGGCTCCCATTTCATAGCACAGAGGAAATTTTTTTTGCCATGCTTAGTGAATTATCATTCTTCTACTTTTAGGTACAAAGGTGACAAGCTTCCGTATCTGTGTGGATGCATTGCAGCAATGACTGAGGAGGAAGAGAAAAAGCTTCTACGTCCTGGAGAAAATGATTTTAGCATTATGTTTTCCTGTAGGAAGAATCTATCACAACTGTGGCTAGGGCCTGCAGCATACATCAACCATGGTATGTAACAGAAACAAATCTTATTTATGTAATATTATATAGTTTATGATTGTATACATGTACAATAATTGTATTAGACAGTATAAACCACTTATTCACAAGTGAATAGCATTCATTTTGTAAGGCAATAGAGTAAACCCATTACCCAGAATGGAATGATTTAACATATCTTCCTTTGTTTCTCTTGCAGACTGTCGGCCCAACTGCAAGGTATGCTTCCATATAAGTTGGTATCTTGTGCCTTTCAAACATGCCTGAGATGGTTTTCCTACTAAGCTGTCCTATCTTCCACCCAAATTCATTAACGTGAACTTTAACAGGGTTGTAAGTGCTCTCTTATGGTTATTATTACTCCTGAAACAAAAGCAAGTTTGTATGGCTAAACAGTAAGTTTAGTTGTCAAACTGCAAGCAGTGATTTGCTTTATGTAATCCTTTTTTTCTGAGATGGCCTAAAACTGTTTTGGCTGCCTTATCCAGCATTTTTGTCCCTACTAGTGTGCAAGTTCAGGGCTGTGCTCTAGCAGAGCCCAGGGGCCCCTGGCACCTAACTTTTGCTCTTGGAGGACCAGAAAATCTTAGTTCTTTCATGCAAATCATACACTGTGCACCCTAGTTTTTAAAGGTTCAGAGCACTGCGCCCCCTTCAATTTTCCTTAGAGCATAGCCTTGGAGGTGGTACTGACAGTGCTTGAGTTGCATGTGAATACAAATCTTTTGCAAACGAATTTCTTGTTCCAAGGAAAGGTCCTTGGTTACACTGTAAACAAATTTAATGATTGTCAGTGCTAATAGGTACAGTTGGTTAATGAGGTTTTATTGTGTGGTGCAGTTTGTGTCCATAGGTCGAGACACTGCTTGTGTTAAAGTGCTGAGAGACCTGGAGCCTGGTGAGGAGATCACATGTTACTATGGTGATGATTTCTTCGGCGACAACAATAGCAATTGTGAATGTGTGACATGTGAAAGGTACATCCCTTTAAGCTTTTCTTAACCCATTCGCTCCTGGAGATTTTGCCGAAAAACGCGTTTTGAAGCTAGTCGAGTGGTTTTCTGGTCACTGTCGTACTATAAAGAGCTAAAACTTACCACAAACCGGTTTACAGGTCGTACACTTGGCGGCCTTCTGATCCAGATGCAAAATATCAGCTTGCGAAGTTGGGGCATGCGCAGAAAGCAAAATTTCGAGATAGTTTTTGGGTTTAAAAGTGACACAGCAGTCTTGACTTTTACTTTTCGCTTTCTCTCCTCCCTTCTTTTTTCGCTTTTCTTGCCTCATTTTTTTTTCTCTTGCTGGGCATTTAGTAGGCTTCATTTTGGTGGGAAGAGTTTTTAGGAAAGCTTTTAGGATCTTAGGATTAGGTGAAAGGAAAGGTAGGTGGGTAATGGAACAAGATTTTCATGGAGATTTTCAGGTCCTTGTCACGTGGCTTTTTGCTTCTTTCTCCGGTGTCCTTGACTGAATTGTGCTCATTCTGGTATGGTTTGAAAGATCTCTTCACTCTACACAAGTTAGCGAAGGAAGTTGTCCTTGACCGTTAAAACTGATGACGTCACAAAGGGTAGAAAGGACCTGGATCCGCACGGGCGGTTATGGGCGGTTCAGGGGCGAATGGGTTAAACAGGATTCACACCATTCAAAAAAGAAGCATTTCTTGAAATTATTGATTTAATTTTAATAATAAGTTTGTTGCTACGTACAATTTTTCTGTGCTTATCAACTGTACTTTCAGTTGTAGTGGATTTAGTTGAGCACCCTCGTTATCAAGCTCTCTTTATCGTGATCAAAGAAAGAGTTTTGGGGCCTTGGTCCCTTTGGGACAAAGAGAAATTTTATGATATGAGATTAAGGTGGTTTACTTGTTATCATCATGATTTGATCCTTCTCCCCCAGTGGAGAACATGGTAGGAGTATTTTAACATGTGTCCAGTTCATTATAGTAAACTAATATAATTTATTGTTGTTAGTAATAGTCAAAGCTGCAAATAATCTTATTACCACCAGACTTGAAAAAGTGACTCGTTTTCCATTAGTCCAATATTATCAAACCAAACAGGACCATTGGGAGTATTTATAAATTTACAGATATGTTTATTCTTTTTCAAAGAGCATTTTTGACTGGGCAATGTTTTGTTAATATCTTTTTACAGACGAGGTACTGGGGCATTTACATCCAAGGTGAAAGCTGATGATAAGAAACAAAAGTATAGTTTCAGAGAAACGGACAAGAGGTTAAAGAGGTTGGCTCGCCGAATGACAGGTAAATGCTACAAAATTATTAAGAAATTAGAAGTCAGCTTACTGTTCTTGGTATGGTGTAATGAAAGCGCTGTTTAATAGTAGCCTTAGTCAAGTAGTTGTACAATGATTGTAGAACAACCTGTGAGCAATTGTTTTTGTTGCAAGTTACCCTTTACAGTAAAGGTTCAAGACAACTGCAATAGAAAGAAAATTTCATTAAAAAAAAAAAAGACTGAGAGTCATCATAAATGCTTCTGAGATTTGGACGTGTGGTTGCATAAGACTCCAAGGCCATAGTTTTTCTATGTACAGTTTTGGACTTTAAGGACAGGCTTTGGCTTACTGTACATGTTTCTGATAATAATTATTTTTACTCCGCTGACACACAAATCAGTAATGAGAAATCATTTTACTGATTCTATGACAGTTGCGTGAAAATAATTTCATGAGAATCTGACTCTACTGGTAAAAAAAAGTATTATTGTTAGTTCTTGATTGAATAAAGTCATACAAGTAACGGTTGATTTATGTCTCACAATCCTTCCATTACTTTCTCACAGGCTCATTTCTTGATGTTGATAATGTTCCCTCACCTAAAGTGTCAGATTCTGTGGACAGTGGTGCAGAAGAAAAACTTTGTGAAGAAATTGATTGCTTGATATCTGTTGATCTCCACACAACTGATCGTGAACGAAACCAATCAACAACCACAATTCCTACAAGTAGATTTTATTCTTCTACTAAAAGACCAAAACCTCGTGCCAGTGTCACAATTGGTCTAAAAGAACTGAATGCTGCAAAAAGAAAACGGCGGAGAAAAGGCCCAAGGTTATGCATGCCCACAAAACGTCGGAGAAAGCATACTTTTATTGGACATATTACAGAAGGCCCACTCGATGAAGTTTGTGCGTTTGTTCCACCAGAGAGGCACACATCTGTGGATAGTGGTGTGGACATAGCTGACAATGATTTGTTTACGTATAGTGATAAATATAAATCTAACTTTGCGTGTGACTTGTATCTTCCATCAAGGTCATTGGGAAAGAACAGTGATGGTTTAATGCTGGCCCGACATCGTTTATCTCTGGATTCAAATCTTGGCCTTCTTCCTCTTCAGAAAAGCAGTGCCAGTTATCGCTGCCCGTGCTGTCCTTGAACTTTTTAAGTCAGTGGAACATTGAAAACTATTATCCATGTGTCTCAGCACTACACTTACGAAAACTTTCAGTACCTTGAACCTTTGCTAAAAAAAGACCTTTAGTATTAGGCCATTTGCGTGATGATGTCTTTTTACTGCTGCGACCAGATTTAATTTTTTTCTCTTTAATATTTAAAATTGGTAATCCCAGTGAGGTTTTGTTTAAAAAAAAACCTAATCTGCATGACAAAGCAAAACCGTGAAGGTTCTGGTAGTTGTAGTATAATGACGCCATCATGCAATGGCTTTTTGTGACGTATACACCTGACTTCAGTCAATTTTATCAGTTTCATGAAAGTTTAGTTTTGGAAAATGTACACCCCTTCCATTTCCACTGACCCACAGGAACGACAGTTCAGCTTTGCTGTAGAGAGGCAGCTGAGAGTTTCCTCCCACAGCACTTCCTTCCTCAATATTAGGGAGTTTATGCATCTGCTACAGTGATGGAAGTTAAGATGTGTGACTAATCAAGATGGCAGTGTAGTCACAATCTTTCACATTTTACAGCTGCAATGACCAGCTCCCTTAATTTGTCAAGAAACTAATGTCAGAAAATTTTCCCACCATTAAAAATTTTTTAGAGACTGCATCTACATTAAAAAAATGAAAATAATGATTGGTCTTCCTAAATTGCCTTAGCCTGCAAGAGCAGATTTTTATTTTGCTCCTTAAACCTGTCATTTTTTGTACTTCACTGATTGTTGTTGCATAAAGTCCCTTTCAGCATTGACATTTTCTGGGTCTACACATAATTTCTTTGTGGGGAAAATTAAGAAAAAAAAACTAAAAAATATTAGTGTTGTATCCACATTAAAGTAATATATTCATCTATAAAATAATAATAATAATTATTATTATTATTAGCCGGAAAACAATGACTTACAAGAATGTGACTCGTTTCTCTTTGATGTCTTCTCTATTTTACATTAAGCAAGTTAACTTATATGTGCCAGATGAGTATTGTTCAACATTACGTCAGTGTCTTATCTTTTGTTAGCGTGTGGGTTCTAAATTGCCTAAAGAAATATTAAGTCTGTAGTTCTGTATCAATTCTGACTTTCAAAGGAAGATTACAATCAGGATTTTCAGAAATGCAGTTGGTTTAACTAAAACACCCGTTTTTCTATGTGGCAAGGGAATTTGAGGGAGGTTCCTTTCATTTCAAAATAGGTGGAATTGTTATTATTGGGGTGCTGTGGCACTTGTTGTCAGCTTTATCTTGAATATTGTACCCTTTTATATTGCCAGGAATGTTCTTCTTTTTTTTTTTTTTAAAATAACTGTTCTGGAAAGTATACCTATCAATTCTTGTTCCTTAGGTGTGATCCCACCTGGAGTACAGATCAATTAAAACTTAAACCAATTTGGAAATGAAGAGTCGCATGTGAATGATCATAGTTTTCCTTAAATCTCTTATTTTGGACGTTAAAGCAATGGAACTGTGTGCTTTGGAAATTTTCAGAATGTGTTCTAAAAATCATCTTCAGTAAACTTGAGTAAACCTCAGAATCATCAACTCATTACTGCTGTGGAGTTTGCAGTCCAGTTTTCTCACATCTGATTGGTTTTTCCCTTGCATAAGTATACAATTACGATTTCATTCCATAAAATCAAATATTCCTGGGCTGTGTTGCTCAAAGCTGGATTAGTGTGAAATTGGAATTCAGACATGAAAGCTTAAAAAATAAGTTCAGTCTAATTCTTTTTGTCTATGGTTTAATGAATTAATGGTCTAAAGAGAATAGAGAAAATTATCAGAGAAAATGTCCTTATTAAACCAAAGAAAAAGGAACTTGGATTAAAATTTAACCGCAATTTTAAGCACTAATCAACCTTCGAACAACTGGGCCTCCGGGTTAACAATAAAATCTTAGTCCTTAACTTGTATTGGCCTTGGTATTAAGCGCTTAGTACTGAAAAGTGTAAGCACTATATAAAATAATATTTTATTATTATTATTGGCATGGCCTGTTAAAGAATTTATTGATTAGGCTAGAAATAGTCAAGTATTTAATTAATGTGTATTAAGTTTTTTTTTATTGGCCTGGCTGGGGTGGTTGTTTCAGAGCTGACCATTAACCCTGAACCAAAAACTTTTTGTCATTTATTTTGCCAGACCGGTATTCAAAAGCTAGTTCTGCATGTTATTTATTAAAGTTTCATGTGAAAACAGGACATTATCTATATACAAACAGAAACTAACGGACAGAAACACTTTGTAGAAAATCTCTAGGAATTGGTATTGATTGGAGGTGAACTGAAGCGCTGCAAGTCAATTGAAATTCAGTGGGTTAACTGAGACAATCTTCAAACAACCTGGTCAAGCAATCTGAAGACTTTCTGAGGGAATAAAAAGAGTGAAGAAGTGATTCCGTGCAGTTATGATGTAGTCACATAATTATAATAAGCTTAAGCCAACCTTAGATTTTCCAATGCATTTTTATTTAATATAGGGCTTGAAAAAAGCCCCCATCTGGTTGTTGGAACATCATTAGACTTTCTTGCTGGGCAAGTAACTTTTAAAGCTTGCCTACCCAATGGGCAAGGGTCCATGCAGGCAAGTCATCCTCTAATAAAATTATTAACTAAGACGAGCAACAAGTGGCCCCGGGCAAGCAAAATGTGAGAGCCGCTTCCCCACAGGACAAGCTGGAATTCAAGTTTTTTTCATGCCCCATAGTATTAAGTACCAAGTATTTGTCAGGATAGGCCATTTTTTAGTTCCCTAGACCCTTGAACCCCTTTCAATGAGTGGCCAACACTCCCAGCACCCTGCAAACTCCATATTTCCAACCAAAACTCAATTTTAAAACTACCAGTCTATCATTCCTTGAAGTGAGACCAGGATGACAGAGTTCAATCAGTTAGGACTTGACTGTGAGCAAGTTATTTCATTCAGAGATATTTGGTGCTGGGTAATAACAAGCAGTATGCAGTTCAAGTATTTTTGCCAGTTACGTAGCCCTTGTAGCAGGCACCAGTTTTTTTAGGCCAAAGGGAGAAATTTTGAGCACACAAACGCACAAGGGGGAAGAAGAGGAGAGGAGGAGTGTTCCCGCTGTGGGTACTCCCCTATAAATGTGACGGGGGTGCTTGTTGGAAAATTTCGAGAACACCCCTAAAAGGCACCAGAATCTTGTTTTATGGGCGTATCCCAAATTCATTTCTACCCCTAAGAGGTACCAAAATGAATTCAACAACAACAAATTGTATAACTGGCACTGCAAATTTTCTCAAGGACTTTTTGCAAGTATTGTCGTAAATCTTTATCCTAATGAAGTGTATCAGTTTTAACAGAATACCGAGACAACTCTGGCAGCAGTCAGTTTAGGTTTTAGCTCCCTAAGCCGTGCCAATCTACAAATTTAAACCCCTAAAAGAAAGATACGAAGAGCACTCCCATCACTTTTATAGGGGAGTACCCCCCTTCCTCCGGTTTTGCCCTCTTTTGCTATATAGGACCTAACCAAATAATTAACTTAATGCCTGCCACACCAGCTACCAATTACCCTAGTTTGCATGCAGGCATCCCCTGTTTGCAATGAAGTGAATATGGAGTTGACATCTGCACAGGATACAAAATGCACAGTTTATTTCATGGAAGGGGTACTATGTAATATGCTGAAAGTTTTTAAAATTTGTAGCTGTACATGCCACACACAGTCACTACCTTTGATTCATGCTTATTCTTTTTACAGGCTTAGGACAACATTATCAACACGCCTTTTTGTAATATGAGATGTCGCGGCTTAATAAAAATCCTACACTTCTCAAAACCCAATTTTCGAACTGGAATGCATGGACACCTTTGAATGAGTTCTTAAGAGCTCCTAAATGCTTTGTGGATAAACAAATTACAATATAAAAAATTACAATTTTTACAATATTATTGCGATATGTCTAACTAGGGTAAATAAACTCCATCTGAGCTTCAGAGAAGACAACTTTGGATGACTTTATTGTCTGGTTTAGCTGACATAACTTTGGGTGATATTTTAAAGATACACATATTTTGGTCTTACTTGGTGATCCGTAAAAATCGTTGAATTTGCGAGAAAGTTGCTAATACATATTTTGTGTGTTCTAATCAGAACCCCAATCCTTCACATCATTCAACATTTTTGCAATTTAACATACATCAAATAAATAGACGTGAGTTAATTATTTTCCTTGGTTTCTTGTTGGCTTCCTTCATTCTGAAGGACTTTCCCCAGTTGACGCTGAGTCCTGTAAATGAAGCAAATCAGTGGAAATGCTAGATTCCATAGCTGAAAAGGAGGTTTCTTGACTCTGCAAGATTGAGCACCGCCACCTCCTTTTGAACTGGGGAAACTAGCGCCTAGCGATTAATACAAACTACCCTACTTAAGCTATTTTTGTAAGCAGAGCTTTTCTTTCGCTTGCTCAATTTTGGCGTACTCCATCAAGAAGACAAATTTACAGGAGGAAAGAATCATGAGAAAACCATGACAACTTCTAATTCTTCACTTATTAATCTCAATATGAATAGCCATGTCCACTTCTACATACCCTGGCTCCAGAGTTCCATTCTCGAAATATCTAAGATGAAATAAACCGTGCTCCAGATCATGTCCCAGCTTCGCTGCGAACTATCAACTGTCCAATTATTGGACACAAAAAAGACCCTCTGGAACCCAGGGTATCTTATACAAGATACCCATTTTATGACTTTTTGTAAGAACATTCAGCCACATGAGAAGCATCCAATCAAAACCATCATGTCATTTGGCCCCTTTCTATAACCTGCAAACAAGCTCTTCTAAGAGGCCCAAAAGGGCCTGTTTATATGGAGGTGGGGGACCCCAGATAGATGAGGTTACAAATTTGCGGGTCACCCCACCTATCATGTAAACGTGATCAAATTATTAAAAATGAGAGATTATGTGGACAGGCGGGTTACCTCACCTACCTGGGGTCCCCCACCTCCACGTAAACAGACCCTTAGTGGGAAAGGGAAGAGAAACTCCCCCCTTCCCATGGTCAGTGGGTGTTTGCAAGCTTCCTAGAGGGTGGGTGCTATTAATTCTACATTTGACGGGGTACCCTTTTCTCCTGGTCCCGGTAGTTCAAACGTTAGATAACGCTATCCACCGGATACCTGGGCCTAACTAGAGGTGTGAGTTTCCAGACAAACCCAAAGCCCCCTTGCTACCTTACCCATGCCAGCACGTTCTTCTGTCTCATGGAAACATCACAAATTAAAGTCGTCTGCTTCGAATTTTGACTTCACTTTGTTTAAAAACTTCATGCAATTTATAATCTTAATAATGTCTTTATAAACGTACGTACATTGACATTAGACTAGGATAATGGAGTCCCTTTCTTGAGGCCAACTTCCGAGTACAGGGAGAAAAAAAGGTGTCTGTTGGGCTCATTAACACAGCATTTGATCTACAAAGTAAAAGAGAATAGTAGTATAAGACTCAACTTTACAATAAGCTTGATTAAGATGGCGAAACTTTCGGGAGAAGTCCACTGCAGCTGGGTTTACATAAACTTAACTTCAAAAATTATGACCGTTGGTTGTTATTATAAGCTTACACTACTTTTTGAAGTACGAACCTTGACGTACAAAATGGTTCATTTTCTGTTCCCTTCGGCAAAGATTTTTGTTCTACTATTGAATCTTTGTTCTCCTTTGGTTGAGCATTATTGTTTCTCAGGACTTGACAGTTTTCCATTTTCCTTTTTATAAACAAACGAATGTCATGTAGTGATCACCAGTTCCAGCGAAAAACTTGAAAATCAGCGCTTTTTTTCCATATTTGGAGAATAATGCCATATTTGGAATTTGGCTTGAGGGAGTTGGGGAAGAGGAATATGGAGGACGTGCATCATCAGTTTGGAGGAGACAATCTAAATAACTCGGGAAAAAAGGTACCTTCACAAGGTTTAGTAGCTTGTATGCGACAAATAATTACTAAAAGTATCTTTATAATCCATCAGGTGTAAGATTTGTCGTCAATCAATGTCAAAACACTTGCGTGCCCCGGTCGCTGCCATGATAGCGTGTCATAATAATTCAACTTGAACCTTGGTTTTATAATTCAACTAAGTTTACCTCGCATAGGTGGTAATTACAGTCCTCGGGAGAAAAGCGAAGTGTGATGATTGTGGACTGATGGAAAGTAAAGATAACGTAAAGAAATAATTGGCTGAAAGAGTTACCAAAGTGCGCCCTTTACGTGACTGTAATTACATGGAATTAAGGTTATTATGATGAATACTTGGATGCAGTGTCATGCTATTTAAGCTTTAAAACTTACAATGTAGAGCTTTGTAAGGATAACAACTGCGATACTCCATGGATCAGGGAATCTGGTAGCCCTGTTAAGTTCAGAATTAGCTGATAAAAAGTGTCAGAATTTATACTGGATTGATGGAAAAGTTTGGTGAGGATGAGGTGATTGAAGAACCCTGTTAAAAATCCTCCTGTACGTTTATTAAATTTGAATAATTACAGGTGAGAACTATTACAAGGAGTACAAGTGAGTACAAGTGCCGGCATAAGAACTGGAAAATGTTTTTGATAGAAGAGATCTACTGATGTTGTATGATGAAATAACAAGCATGCTGAGAAAAATTGCTTGTAGAGACTTCAGTCATTCAGAAAATCAAAATTTGTTTTAGCTGATGAGTCAAAGTATCGGTGTTTTGTTACATTTCTTGATGGTTGTTCTGTTAACAGCCATCAGTGCAGACTGGAAATAATTCTCACCTTCTCTAACTCTTTTCATTTTAAGTATTTTTACTATTAATTTTGGAGGTTAAAATGCTTCAAAACACATCCACAGATACACCAAAGCCTGGGAAATCTGGATTTCAAGAGATAAGGATGATCGAATGGGGCAAAAATGATAACCCCAAAAACTCCCTAGAGCTTCCCACAAACCCCAAACCGCTGGACCAAAAACTAAACCGTCAAAAAATTTCCAAGCCTTAAAAATTTACAGAAAGAAGTAAATGATGTTACACAAAAAATTTGATTGTACTTTATTTGCAAAACTATGCAGTTGGGAGATGGATATCAGCAGGAGCCCATCAAATGGAGCCTCCATCTCCATTAATTTCTTGAGTCAACCCTTTCCCGAGTAGATTTATAAATAGAACGGCTTGTTTCCCGCGAAAAGTGTCATATTTCCGTGAGTCTCGTATGTCACTGTGAAAAAAATGAAGTTGGATGAAGTCGAACTCAGAAGCCCGTCCTTCGACCGTTTTCCTTTTTTACTATTCGTCCATTTTTACAGTTTTACAGCCGCTGGGATCTGGGATGAAATAAAAGTTAATGAATTACCCGACTGAGACTGAGCATGAAGCGATGGGACAAAGGCAGCGAACTGAGGATCACGGAAAGGTTCTTTGCGAGTGTTTGTTTTTGTTTTTTTTTTTTGCCTTCATACATCCCACATTTAAGCATGCACCTTGAAAAGAGTCGACGATTAAGCGTTCTGTGGACGATTTGAAACTTTTCGATGATCAGTGCCGAAAAAGTGCCGGGATCATTTATTTTTGTCATCGCCGTGTAGTGGATTTCGCCAGTTAAGCACCGTGTGCAAAAGCGATGACCCAAGTAGCAACTAAGGAGGAATGCTTCAGAAAAATTGCAGTCTTCCTTTACAACTGACTAGTATCACCATGAGAGTTGCCTGATAAAACTGGCACTTGAAAAGTTGAACAGAAGACAACAGTTGCTCGACCGTGATGAAGCTAACTCAAAAGTAATTTGCTAACGGTGGAATTTGTGACATCGCGTTCCAGTCCAAAGACCCTCTTATCTCAAGAAAAACAAAATGGATTGTATCTGCGCCCAAAGAATTATGACTGACCAACAGGAGAATTCTCAGCAATTAATGTAGAAGTTTAGGCCAATTCTTTCCTTCGAATTTGCATCTGTAGATCACTTTTTTGCGAGAAAACAATGGCTGGGCTCGGCGTTACAAAACATAGCAGGGAATCATCACACTAACTGACGGACAAAACAACCACAGTATTTATTCCGACAAACGCATTTCGGATAAAAACTTGAAAAACTAGAAATTTGATTAATATTCAGTCATTTAGCCGAAATAAGAACCTTAACGCTCAAAAAAATTGGCTAAAGAAAACTAATCCTGTCAGAACTACAGACTGCAGGTAGTAGTTAATCCTTACGCATGTAACAGACCAGCTTAATGTGAGACAAGCTGAAGCAACCAAAATTAGGATTAACATAGTCAGAGTTTAAAACTCTCCACAGTATAATCTACCCGCTAGAAAGAAAAGAAAGAAAACCTCTGAGGGATGAAAACGCTAAAGTCACGTTTCACTAGCTTATGATTTTGTTTGGCCTGTCAGCACCGGATTTCCTGCTGTTTCATCAAGTACAATAGCAGTGTCATTTAGTCGTTGTGATTGGCTCTTCCCACCGTCGGTGCGCGAAGTCTCCCCTGGGAACCGTTCTAATTATAAATCTACTCGGGAAAGGGTTGACTCCAAGGGCTTGTATGGGAGATGGAGGCTCCATTTGATAGGCTCCTGTATCAGATTGTTTTGAATACCCCAAAAAATCCCTTCTTGAATCAAGCCACCCCAAAAAAATACTTGCCAAATGTTCCTACCCAAAAAAATCCCGGAATAAAAAATTACAAACCCAAAAAATCCTTCGACCATCCCTGTCTCTTGAAATCCAGAGAACCCTCCCTGGGCAGCTACATCAAACTGCACATTCACTTCCACCATTTGAAATCTGCTATATGAAACAAAATTTATGCTGGCCCTCGGTTAGGGCAGACAATGATCTGAATGGTGGAAATTGACAATAGCAAACCATGCGTCTAGGCATCTTTTTCAGGGAAAGGACGTGAGCTCATTTCCCAAATAGTGGCTGATAATTGAGCCTAGCATAACCTCTGTTCACGCAGCTTTGCTGTTTCATGGTCAAACTTGCAGGACTCTGATATGATGAGCAAACCATACCCAACACAACCAGACCTTCCTCATAGTCAGTACAATCCAACACCATATCAACAGCCTGATTACAGCCAGTTTGATCTGGTGAGAGCCACGCAGTATGGCATCTTTGACAGGTGCCGTGAATTGATTGAGAAAGAGGGTGTTGATGTCAATACGCTGGACAAGGAAAATGTTTCAGCTCTACATTGGGCAGCAATCAACAACAGAATAAGGATAGCTGAGTAAGCACTTATCTTAAGCTGGTGTTTATGTAAACATCCTCTCAACTTGTTCCTTGTCTGTTAGTTTTTCTCATTTCATAAAAAAAAATTGTCACTATTGAAAGAAATTTCAATCAGACAGGGACAGGCATTGTTTTCTTTTTTTTGTTGTTTATACATGATATATACTGGTTTCCAAACAATAATCATGCACTCACTGTTGAGCTTATAGGTGAACAACTTTTTCACTTCTTATGTTCTTAGATAGCACCTCTCCTGGAGATGTTGTTCGCAATAAGAACTAGTTGAACGGTCCAACAATAACCTGTGTTTTGATCAACAAAATTTCACTATACTGGTTAATAATTTGGTAGTCCTAGATTGAAATCAACAAATCTAGATTGAAATCCATCTAACTGTATTTTTTCACTTCTTAGAAACCAACAACAATGATGATGATAATAATGATTAATAATAAATACTTATTCTCTCCCCTTTGAGGGGTTTTGTATGAATAAGTTGACCTTTTACATTACCAACTAAAGAACAAATCCAGCTCCGGTCAGAGGGAACTCGAACCCAGGATGCTCCCTCTGGGCCCTGCATCCTGTACCTAAAACTCTGCATTTATTGACAGACCTACTTCTACTTCTTCTTCCCTTCAGATACTTTGTGTCAAAAGGTGCTACTATAGATCAGAAGGGAGGCATATTAAATGCCACACCATTACACTGGGCTGTTAGGTAAGAATCTAGTTACCTGACAACATTTTATATATGTTGATAATGTTGTTCCACTTTGTAGTGCCGTGATTCAGTTAACCCATTAAGCTCCAATATCCACATACCAATTTTCCAGTCTGATCTCCATATTTTTCCCAACAGAATTAGTTGAGATGACCAAATAATTTCCCCTTTGGTGATCACTTGATTCTCATAATCTTTTCCCTTGATTTGTATTGATATTGTCATGAGAAATTGATGTTGGTCATTCTTGGGACAAAAAAGGCTAAAAACCAATTTGGTCATAGTATTTTCTGACATTTATGTGGGCTTGGTTAATGTTCTTTACCAACTAATTCTTTCTATTAATTTTCAGGCAAGGTCATCTTGAAATGGTCGTGTACCTGATGAAGCAGGGTGCAGATCCTGCTTCACTTGATATTGAAGGTAGTGTCACTTTGGAACTCTCCTTAAAGAAGTGTATTGCAGTGTGAACACTAAAACTAGGACACATGGAAGAAGATTGTCTAATCACGATGTTTTCTGAAAACAAAAGATTCTCAAGTTTTTTTTCAAACAGACCAATAAAATTCAAGGTTCAACTAAGCAACCATTGAGGACGGTTTGAACTTACCTGATCTCTCAGGAAACAGCACTCAAATAATGAATGTTGTTGGTCCTTTTGCACAAAAAAGCTTGTTAATGTTTTGTTATCAGAAAATGTTGTGATTCGACAATCTTTTTTTTAAGTGTCAGCACCGTAAAAGTACTAAGATATCTTTAGTTAATATTTTGTTGCTGAATACATTTTGATAAACCTCTCCTAAATAATCCTGAATGTTATTTAAATAGTAATAACAATTTTAAAAATAAATCATAATCAGTACTTATTATTGTTGTTCATGATGGATGGGGCAGGAGATTTTTTTTTCTAGTCACCAATTTGGAGAGTAATTTCTAGAAATTGTTCCCCAAAGTAGAAATTTTAGCTCGTTGCCAAATTTATCAGGCACTGTTTCATGTGCTTCAACAGTCTGTCATCTACACCAGGAAAGTTTAAAACTCTGGCTTTGTTTTCTGTTAACTTCCTTTACGTACCTACTTTTCACCCTGTTCCTCATTTGGCAGGGTTGTCACTAAGATTTCAAGTTGCCGGGTAAATACAACAAGTAGGCGGGGAATCAAATGGCTAGGGATTTCTTTTGGTTCTGTTTTTCTTCTATTTTCCAATAAAAGTAGCCGGGGGCCACTCTCTTAGTAGCCAGGGAAAATCCCCGGCCCCTGGCTCTTAATGACAACCCTGTTTGGGGAGAAGGGATTGACAAAGATGATGACTTAAAAAGGAACAACTGTCCCATTATACAGGCAAATTTGTTAAAGTAATAATTCACAAATTACTTTGTAATATCTCATTCAATTATTCAATTGCCTTAATAGGTTGCAGTTGTTTGCATGTTGCTGTTCAACATAGTCAGATGGGAGTAGTTGCATATTTAATTTCAAAAGGAATGGTATGTATTCCCTTAGTGAAATACTGTAGGTTTAACAGTGTTTTTCTTGAGCAAATGGGTCAAAGTAGTAAAGGCACAGTGTATATGTACAACCCTGGTCAAAACATCTTGGAACACTTGAGGAATTTAGGTACAAAGACACACTTTGCTAAATTAACTCATATTCTGCCTCTTAAAAAAGCTTTGGGATGTTGTTATAAGAGGCTATTTCTGCTGTCCCCCTCTCCCCCAAGCAGTGTTGATTGTGTTGAATTAAAACTTGAATGCATAACTTCAACATTGCACCGAGGGGGGAGGGAAGATGCCTCAATTTGACAAGCTATTGCGTTAGTGTCCCAAGAGTTTTGACCAGGGTTGTAGTTGTGGGGTATTGAACACAATACAAACTGTGAAGATGTCTTAACCATATATTTGTGTGTTGGTGGAACAATATGAGACAACAGTTTTGGTTTGTTGCAGGATGTTGATCAGCTTGACAGAAATGGCATGTCGCCACTAATGTGGGCAGCTTACAGATGTTTTGGGTGAGTAGAGCACTGTCGAACCTCTCTGTGTGACCACCTCTCATTAGCAACCAGCTATCCAAACACCAAAATTTTTTCCAGTCAAAGCCCTATAGTTAGAAGCTCTCTTAACCCTTTAAGCCCCAATATCTACATACAAATTCTCAAGACTGATCTCCATACATATCCTTTAAAAATTAGTTGAGAGAATTTGATAAAAGATCAAAGATTGATCTCTTTGTGATCAATTTATTGATTCTCATAGTCTTTGCTCTTGACAATCTATGGATATCGTTAGGCAAAAATATTATTGATGTTGGTCACTATTGGGACTTAAAGGGTTAAGTGACTGCAACCATATAGGGCTGACGGTTTTATAATTTTCCATTGTTTTAACCTCTTATAAGCAGCCACTTGACTCATGGCCTTATCTGTTTGATCACTGGGTGTACTACACTACTCATGATCAGAGTATGTCAAGAACCTTTAGTGAGAACATGGAACTATACATATCGCAACTTAGAAATTGCATGCAATTACTCTTTCTTTTGGGATCTCCTCTTGAAAGGGAACCCCTATGGACCTATACTCGGAAACGACCACTAACTCTTCACATTTTGGTGGTTACTACAGGAGCCTCAACTGTTTAATTGATTTATACTACTGCATGAGAAATTTCTGCAATTTGATTTGCTCAGAGCAGTCGTGTTTCAGCTAAATTTGAAATACCTACATGTGAAAATTACAAACCTTTTGCGGGTAGTAGTATAAACAAATAATAGCATGATTTGTATGTGATATTTGGCATGAATACGACTTGTGATGTTTCAAAATTGTGTCAAATTGCACTCGCCTAACTACACGTGAAATTGCGTGTAACAATTCCGAAATATCACTCATGGTATTTATGCCTAATATTACGGCTTCTTAGTGCTCAGCAATCAGTACAATGTTGTCAACAGTGAAATCTCTAGACTATAAGTTTGTCATAACATGCAAGTACTTAACCACGTAGACATACATGTACAGCAGAGTCAAGGATGATAGGCCAGTAAAACTACTAATCAAACACTAATTAATCAATATCATTGCTTTGAAAGAAGCTGAGGAGAGAAAAAAAATTGATCTAAATTTACACAAACAGATCATTTACAGTTTTAGAATAATCCTTTTGTTGCTTTTTTTCCAACTATTTTAGGTTGGAGTTGACAAGAATGCTCCTAACCATGAATGCTTCAGTTCCCCTGGCAGACAAATTTCACAAAAATACTGGTAAGACTCTCATTAAAATTTTTTAGTCTAGGTTGACACTCAGTTTCCTTTGTCTCCTGGGGCGAGGAAACTAAAGAAATTGAAATCAACCTAGGTTAAATCATAATTAACCTGAAATCAAGTTTTACATGTAACAATAGTGAGTTTATGCAACACGATGTTAGATGGAAGAGGACAGCAAAGCGTTTGTGTAACAAATGTGACAGGGCTATTACATGCATGTTTTGTCCTGCTCTTCACTTAACATTACTGTGTTCTTGTTTTATACAAAAGTTTTGTGTAAAGGAAGGTGAAGTTTGGTGGAAATTTATTTTGTTTTTCAAACATAATTACTGTCACACAAGGTTTTGCTGTATTCTTTCCTCTGCTATACTTTTGTGTAAGTTCACTATTACAGGATTGGTGCCTCTGCACCAATTTGCCCATAAATTATGGCATTTTTAAGGCTGTTTGTGGGTTTTTTGTCCATTGACAGCTTTGCACTGGGCAGTGATGTCAAATAATCATAATGTCATTAGAGCACTTTTAAGGGCTGGTGCCAGCATGGATGCGTTAAATGCCGAGGTATGGAATCTTTTCACTCTTTTATCATTATTGTCAGTTTACTAGTCTAAGTGTAGTAAAAGTGTGGGTCATGTTTTTTGCCACAAGAAGCGTAAAAGAGGTTTATTTTATTTTCTCACAAAGATCACCGTCCTTGAATAAGTGGCACTCTTAGGAACCAAAATTCCCTGTATAAATACCACATTATCCATGCAGCAATGCGACAATTGTTGATTTTTGACTTGGTTAATGCTGAACTGTTAATATGGCTGATATTGTAATGACGATACTGTTATTTAACAATTCATGAATGAGGCTGAGCATCTTATGAAGAATTGTGAAGAATAGGGAAAGTATTTTGAATGAATGATAAGGTCATTTATTTGGATCTGGAAAGGGACACCACCTTTAGAACTAACTTGTATTACATTCAAAACATGGAAGAGGAAAGAAATATCTTTTCCTTAGTATCAGAGTGATATGGGAAGTTTCTAATAAGCCCCCAAATAGGCCTCGCTTACAAATTAGTGATCTTGTTCAAAATGTGTTTATTTCAATGCTTTGATATCAACTTTTCATCTGTTAATAGGGTCAGTCACCTTATGATCTGGCAAAACAAAAGAAAAGCAAATGGATTTTGATGCAAATGGACTTAATGGCAATGGATAAAGGGAAAGGAAAACCAGTATTTTTACAAGCATTGACAAGAGATAAGGTAGGACTTTATAAAATGGGGGGTGGGGGAGGTGGCTTTGGTAAGCTGTAAGGAAGATTTTGGGGGTATGAGGAGTTTTGGCATTTTTCGTGAGAATAGTATGCCAAGATGATTGAGTGCTGTCATAATATTGGAAGTGGTTACATCAAATATGGAAACAACTCTAGGAGGTGCACTGCCCTGGGGAGCAGCAGGGCTGATACTCCCCTTTATATATAACAAGGATCTGTGTTAGGAAATTTCAAAAATACCCCTAAAATTAATGCAACCAGGAGTTCTTTTTGATTGGTGGGCCTGGCTTAAAATTTGTTTTAACTGCTAAGAGGTACCAGTTCTAGATCAACCAATGAACTGGCCCTGACAGTAGGTTTTAAAGTCAAGTAATTGAATTTAAGGACATAATGTTGGTGGAGCTGAAAAATGAAGGGTTTTGTTTTATATATTATAAATCAAAACCCCTCATTTTTCAGCTCAATATCCCACAAGGTCCCAAGCAACTCTAGATTTTAAGCCCTAAAAGGGATTACATTATTTTACTCCCACCATTTTTTTAATGGTCATTCCCCAATCCAGGGCCGAGGTGTTCAAAGGTGGGTTAAGTTAACCCAGGGTTAGTGTGAAATTTGAACTCGGATATAAGAGCTTAAAAAACAAATTCAGCTTAATTCTCTTTGCCTACAATTTGATTATTGGATACTCTAAAAAATGTATAGAAAATTATCCGGAAGAGTGCTTTTGACGAAAAGAAAAAGAAGCCCAGGTTAAAATGTAACGTTGAATTAGTGCTAACTGGCATTTAAACAACTGGGCCTAGGTGCACTGTTGCCATGGTTTCATATTGAACTTCACAATTGGAGGTCCAACATTTTCTCTCAATCTTTGCCCCAGGTATATAAGACAGGAAACTCCCCAATTTTTACTCTGTCCTTACTTAGCTGTTTATATTACCGTATTTTCATGCTACAGAAACCTGGTAGCTTTGGCTGCGGCAGCCCACTGGGGTCATACAGTGCTAATTTTTGGCTTTCCTTTTAGGTTGCTCAGCGTTATGTTCAGATAGGGCTGCCTTTCTTTGTACTATTTGGTGTTGGAGCAATCTTGGAATTTTCATCTTCTTGGGTTATGTCACTACCTCTTCTATGTGCCCTAGGAATAATAACTCATTATGGACTAAAGTAAGTAGTTATTAAAATAATGTAACAACATAGTATTTATTCTATTTAGAATAAGAAAGAGTTTTGAATTCAAAGGGGAAAAGTATGTTAAAAGAATAATGTTGGAAAATGAAACAGTTAATTTCAGGCCAATCATGTAATGCGCATCATCGCCTCAGTGTAAACTAACATCAGTTTTGGTGTAGGCAATGTTTGCTCTGATCTCCAAAACATTTCTGCCAAAATGCATCAAGTTTTGAAAGCTCTGCAATACTATGATGACAAATCACACTAAAACTGCAGCTAGTTTTAAATACACTTACAATTTGTATTGCAGGTTTGTGTAACTAAAAAAAATTGTACAAATAGGTCTTAACTGGTCTATTCATTTGTATGCATTTAAGAAAATTTGCCCAAAAGTTTTTCTTGGTAACCAGCAACGTAGGTTTAAGAATAAATTTTATTCTTAAACCGACATTGCTGGTTACCAACTAAAACTTTTGGGCAAATTTTCTTTTGTTGTCCTAGGTAGAACTCTTGATGTTTTAACTCTTCCATTGTTGCTGTTTACTCACAGATTGTTCATGTTAAACTTTTATGATAACAATACTGCTGTCTTTGGCTGGACCCTTGCCACCAAAGCTTACCTTTACCACAACATTTTCACTGTTCATTTACATTATATCCTTTCCAATGTTACTGTTTTTTTGAATTTTTTGATCTGACTGGTAACTTCTTAAACTTATAATTAATAAATTATTTATGCATGTTTGCAGATTATTTCAAGGGGGCCAGCCCTCAAGCCTTATTCCCTTAGGTGTATATTTAGCTACTAAAGTCTACAAATATTCAACTTGGTTTCTCTTTTTCTGGCCCTATATCCTTTAAGAATTTATTGAATGGATAATCATAATTCATGATGTAGATAATTTTTTAAATCTCTTTATGCAAGATTAAATATCAGATATCTGCACACAAGCACCTGACCGGTTAATTAAACACCAGTTACTGTTCTTTTAACCAACACTAGCAAACACCTTCCACGAGAAAAAAGAGAAAGAGAAAAAATTGATCTTAAACTTTAAAAATCCCTACTAACATCGTATTGTTTCAATATGTTTTCATTTGAGGTGATATTTTAATCAAGTGTGAGTAAGGGAATGTCTCAGTTCTAACTCATTTATTAATAATTAAATAATCAATTAGATAATCACCCTAAAAAATTTAATATACCGGTAACATGTCTCTGGACCATAAACACTGAATGGAAATTAATCCGTTTTCCACACTTAATGCAATATAATGTTATGTACAAGCTTTCTTTTAACTGTAAAACTCTGAAACATTTTACACCAGCTTACACAGGTTACCAGTTTTTGTGGGTTGCTATGTTTGATAATAATCATGATTTAAATATCTGCGTCGGCCCCAATGCACAAGATATGCCACAAAAACTAATCTCACCATCAGTTTGACTTTCTCATTTTACTGCTGCACATGATGTACATCTGTAGGGTCATTCAACAATTTTTCTCTGCCTTTTCTTTTTACTTAACTCTCTATCTTTATTTGCTGTTGTATTATGCTGTTTTGTTTATTGTTTTTTTTTTTCATGATAACTGTTGTTTAACAAGTTACTGGTAATTTCCTTAACCACTTCCCACATGTAAATACTCCAATCATCTTAGCATCTTTCTTTATAACCACTGTTGGCCTGTACTACTGTTTTTACAAGTCATGGAAAGTAGATCCTGGGTACCTTCACACAACATCAGCTGAAAAACACAAGGTAAGACATCTTTTGGTATTCAACACAATACACTGGTATCCTGAGTTTAAAAAAAGGTGCTATTGTAGCCGTAGTTCAAAACAGTGTCATATTCTGGTCATTCTCGTAAGTATAGTTGGATTTTACCAAAATTTGGTAAAATCCAACTAAGAGTCATTTATTTTAATGAGGTACAATAATTTATTTTTACTCCTAGTCTAAATGCATAGTATAGTAATAACTACTATAATATATAATAATTAATAATCAATTATTGATTATTGTAGTATTATTGGTAAAACTATTATTTTCTTGTATCCTATGGTCAAGTACTGATTTACAAGGCAAGCCAAGAAAGGATTGCTTCCCTGCTACTTTATGGGTTGGGGCCAGGTTTTTCAAAGCTAGGGTTAAGATAACTCAGGGTTAGTGCGAAATTTGATGTCAGATAATATTATTGTGAAAGCTTAAAAAGCAAATTCAGTTCAATCCTTCTTGTATACAATTAATTTGATGATTGGGTGCTCTAAAGAGAAGAGCAGAGGAAATTATCCAAGAAAGTGCTGTTGAACAAAAGAAAAAGAAACTGTGATTAAAATTTGACCCCGGGTTTGCACTAATCTGCCTTTGAATAACTGGGCCCTGGTTATTTCCATACAATTAATGTTCTTTTATTATCTTAAAAATGTAATGAGGATTCTCTAATTATTAAAATTATTTTGTGCCTGTTCATTAAAAGTTGTTATTTGCTTCAATCTGTAACCACTTCAGTCGTCTACAATGTAACTGTTCTGCTGTATTTTCTCCCTGCAGACCATTATAGAACTTGTTGAAAAGAATTCATTTAACTTCAATAAGTTTTGTTCAACTTGTCTTGTAAGTACATGATCTTTTTAAGAAAACCATACTCCTTTGTTTTTTGTTGTTGTTGTTCGAAGGTTGCTTGTTGTTTTATAGTTTCTTCAGTATGATAATAAATTTCTCCCACAGCTACTGAAACCCATCAGGTCAAAGCATTGTTCTGTTTGTGATCGATGTGTAGCCAAGTTTGATCACCATTGTCCATGGGTAGAGAATTGTGTAGGTGGGTAACAGTTTGTTTTTGCACCCTCAAAATTATTTCTATTGCATCTTTTGCCGGGATGATGTGAATGAAGTGATCACCAGGTGATGTAACATGATAGGTTGATGACACACTGAAGAATACTGGTGTCTTACCATAGTAGCTAACCAACAAGAAATGCTGCCTGCACGACAGGTTTTGAAGGGGGGGGGGGGGATGGGGAAGAGGAAATTAAGGTGAACAAGAAAGAAGGCAAGGGAGGTTTGGTAGTATGCCTATGGTTGACAATCCCATTTTTTGCAGTTAAGATCGGATCATATACCTTCAATCCTCTATTAAGCCCCTGGGGGGGGTTCTTTAATTTAGCAAAGACAATGGTATCAATTCTCCATAAAGAGCTAGAATACATTTATTGGAAAATCTCAACTATAAGAAGTTGGAGGTCATGCAGCCGAGGATCAAAAACAAATCTTAACTTCCAGTTGGTGAATAAACCATCCTGGATCAGTCCACACAAAGTTTATAGTCGTGATTGATTAATACAGTCTATCATTTATGAGTGAAGAATAATTAGGGGAGGGGAGGGGAGGGGGGCATAAAAGAGAGGGGGAACTTATTAACTTTCTTCCCCTGAAAAGGGGGGCTTAATAGAGGATTTACGGTACATCATTTAAAACAATGGCATCTTTGGACGAGTTCTCTTCCTTTTCTCTCACGCAGGTGCCCCTCATAAACTCGCGTGCTGCCCCTTCCCTTGCATTGCCCTTCGACGACATCCCATGCAGGCTAATCAACAATATTTTCTACAAGAAGACTCTTGGCCAAAGGGCATAAATTTGTTTGTTTGTTTTTTTCAAGTAGGTCTTCTTTGAATTTGTCTTATTGGGCAAAATGTGAATGATTGTTCCGACTAAGTTCAGATGATCTGAAGAGAAGTCACTCACTCGAACGTCTGCGTAGTGGGGGGAGTTAATTTATTTTTCTATTTTGTTGTTGTCACAGGTGTCGGAAATCACGTGTACTTCTTTTGGTACTTGTTTTTCCTGTTTCTTATGATTCTCTGGTACATCTATGGCGGAACAGTCTGTAAGTCAAGGCTTCTTTACTTTTCAAACGTTAACTTGTTTATTTAGTATTGATATTGACCTTATATTTGCTTGCCCTTGGAATCCCTGATCATTTGCCATTTTAGAAATGAAAAGGGAAATGCAGCCGAGATGTGTCCTGCAATTTTTCCTACGATCGTTACTGGGGACGCGCCGGTCAGCTGTTGACCTACCGTAAAATTCCGAAAATAAGGACCTCCATGTATAGGCCCCTCCAAATATAAGCCCCCCAAACTCGTAACGCAAAAAACCCTCCATTAAATCGTCCCTCCAAATAAAAGCTCCCCGGGGGCTTGTACTTGGAAATTGCCCTCAAATTCTAAGGAAAACAAAGCAAAACGGTAAATTGCCTTCCAACTATAAGGCTAGCCCAATTTTTTTTGAAACGCAAATTTCCCTCCGTAGATAAGCCCCTCCGAATATAAGCCCCTCAAAAAGGGCCTTTGAAAATATAAGCCCTGGAGGTTATTTTCGGAATTTTACGGTATTTTTTTTCCTGTCCCTATTAACAATCCCAGAAGTCTTTGCAAAAGTTAACTGGACCCAGTCTCCTTCTCTCTTTTTTAAAGTGGCGACTGGGCTGTGAGCAAGCTTTCTACTGAGACACTCATCTCTCACGCCTCGTTTCACCGATATCGGGTCGTTTCGCCTAAAGGTCTATTCGCCCCATGCTAGTTCGCCCAGACTAAGTCGATTCGCCCGATATGTATTTGTCGTTTTTTAAGCTTGAGAAAAAGGAATAAGCATGGCGAGACAGTGACTGCACACGTGGAATCCATGGTTAACCAAAAGAACATCTCGAAGTAGTAGGTTCACCATGTTGTAGAGTGTTGTATGTCATCTGGCGAATCGACTTAAGTCCTAGCAAACGCCTTCGTGCAAATCGGCTTTCTGGCGAAACGACCGCAGTTCGTTTCACTAGCCTCTTAGGTGTGATCCCTCACTTCTTTCTTTACAACAAGAAGCAAAAAAACCTTCATGTACTTGTGTCACAGCATTTTCATAGACCCCTTTATATGGCACGAATTATGAATATCATATAAGTCTTACAAACCAGTCAGCAAAACGCGCAGACCTGAAAATGGTATTTGTGAATTTCTAATGACATTTAGTTTTCATTTTTCATATCTGATACTTCGAGTTCCTGAAGGAGCAGAGCTCCCATTTATTACTTCCCATATTTTGAATATACACATCTCATGGCTTTAAAAATGACAAGACAACTGCCTGTCTTAGCTATATATATTCGTATCAAAAAGACCGACCAGATACAGCAGTTAAAGGGGATGCGTTGCTTTCTAGTAGGTATGTGAAAGAGGAATCATTTGTCATTGGAAGGTGTGGGAAAGGGTTCGTTTCTGGTCGTAAATGGTTTGAAAAAGGCTACGGGGTTGGACCTTGTGGCGGAGCCACCCCATGCAGATAAAACGTTGTTGAGTACCACATTCCCCCGGACTACCAGTTAACCAGTTCGTGAAAACACGGTGCATAACCTTATAGATCGTTTTCACATGACGTCACGGCGGCCATATTTGCGTACAAAACAATGGATCGGCGGCCATGTTTGTGTACAAAAAAAATCCTGTGGGAATTGAACTCTTTTCACATGTTAAAACTTTCTTTTATTCCAAGCAATTTGCAAAGCTGCTGACCACGCGAGTGAAAACGACCTATCGTGGGAGTCGCTCGCTTTAGGTTTTTGGCTCGTGTTAATGTCTAGCCTTCCGTGAGGAGAATTAAAGTGATGTCTTAGGCCCTCCCTCGTAACCTTCTAAACTACTAACTTATGTTAATATTTGTGTCAGATTATGTTAAAGCGTGCGGTCCCTACCATGAAGGAGTGTGGAATGCTGTTACTCAAAGTGTCTATTGTGCACCTTGGGTATCCTGGGGTTATCTCAACGCCCTGTTTCATGTGATGTGGGTCGGTGCCCTCCTTTTCAGTCAATGTTATCAGGTAGGAAATTCTCTGTGCTGTCACCTGCGCACTCTTTTGTGCTATTCAGAGGAGCTCATATGCTATCCATGTTGTTGTTAGGAGTTAGCTTGTTCCAGACTCCAAGAGAGCAGTTCATTCGCACAGTAAAAAGTGGTGCGAAAAATGCGCGGGAGCTGGGGAGACAGTAGGCGGTGCTATTTTTTCCCGCCACCGCCCCCTTCCCCAGATCGCGCGCGTATTATTTTCATTTGGCTGTTTTATTTTCACGACGTCCCACTTTTTAGAGCCTGGCACAGGCTAGTTAGGAGGAGGCACCGTGGCCGAGTGGTTAGAGCGTGGGAATTGCAATCCGGAGTCCCCGAGTTCAAGTCCCGCCCTGACCGCTAACTGGATTTGTTCACGGTTGTCTCGAGTTCAACTCCTCGGCTACGCTTGTAAATAACCAACTGGTTTGCCTCCGGCCAGTTGGTTTTTTTGCCCTACTTATGTTGATTTCAGTTATTTGTTTTTGTCCTTATTTTTGGGCCACAATGTAAACTGTTGGTTTAGGCCCAGTTCAAACGTCGAACTTAAAATACCTATTTGGGTCGACCCAACTGATATAAGCTTGACGGTTGATTCAGACCCCGAACTTGATTCATCTATCTTAATTTATTTTTACTATGTAAAATGGTCTACAGTGTTTTACTTTATCAGTGAAAACAAATAACAGTAATTCATGCATTAGGTTCGGCACTTGAAAAGTTCGACGGTTGAAACCAAGTCGCTCCTCAGTCGAAATTCCCATGAGGGCCACTCGATTTTAATCTATGGGTCGACCCAAATGAGATATTTTTCACTTAATTGATTCAAACGTCGATCTTTTTATGTACTTAATTAAAGGGATTAGGGTTCGGTACATGAAAAGATCGACGTTTGAACTGGACCTTATCAGTAATTGTGTTAAAGTCAATTTTTTGCCGTTGTTGAAATATTCAACTTTTTTTGCCAGATATTTTGGCTGGGAATGACCACTAATGAGCGCCTGAATATGACAAGATACCAGCATTTCATGGACAATCACGGAGTCGCACAAACCCCCTTCAGGTAAGTTTAACCTTGTTCCAGCGCAGACAAGGAAGGAAGGTGTTTTTGGTCATGTTCATACTATTCCGGGTCGCTCTATGTGCCAGAACAGAAATACAGATATGGTACAGTATGCCGTATTTACTCGAATAAGCGCCGCCCGTATTAAGCGCTGCCTTTGGAACAAAAATAAACGCCGCGGCCCCGATACGATCAAAGTCAAAAGGCGAAAAATAATTATACTGTAGTTAAAACAATTCTTTGTGGCGTCCAACTTTCAAATAAACGCCACCGTCGAATAAGCTCCGCATTTGAGGTGTGAAAAATTTAATAAGCACTCATATGAGTTAATACGGTACATGCGTTGTTGACCAAGCGCGAGATCAAAATGGCTGAATATTGGCCAAGTTCTTTTTTGCGTTTTTATGGACCGAGACGAAGTCGAGGTCGATAAAAACTCAAAAAGGAACGTGTCCAATATCCAGCCACCTTGATCGAACACGCTTGGTCAATAAAGGATTTATTAAGTGGCCAAAAAGAGAACTTTCTTCTTGCGGGACCAATGCGGGAAATCCCGAGCGGGCAAGATAGGCCCACCTTGCCCGCTCAGGTAGCCAATCAGAACACAGTATTCGCTTCATCTTGCCCGCTCGTGGATTCAGCCATATAAATAAGCAGTCCTTCGAACTGGCCAATCAAGTCGTTTATAGACGAAATCACGGCCACGAAACAAGATGTTTCGAGCATTATAACTCCATCTTTTACAGAGAAACTGGAATAATCTTTAAGAAGTCGTGTTCGAAGTTTTCAACAGGTTTCATTGGTCCAACCAAGCTTTGTCCTTGACTTTCCTGTATTTCTGCTGTGTTCTTTTACAGTTATTTAACAATTATTCCTCGAGCCCGTATGGGCTGTGAGTCAATAGCCCATGGGGCCAAATGGGCTATTGGCCATGAGGGCGAGAAGAATAATTGTTTTAGTAAAATCCAACTAGTTGGTCAAAAATATCGAGACAAAACAACTTTAGTTAGCAAAACGCGATTAATCCGCCATTGTTTGGCTTTCAAAGCCGGCGCTTTTCGCTACTTGTAGGCTATAACATATAGCCTAGTAGTATCTCAACCAATCAAAACGCAGCATTGATAATAGACCAGTGGTTGGATTTTACTAAAAACTGTTATCGGATTCTCGATACTTCTTTTAATTCTAAAAGCAGTTGGAAAGTGCTAATCTACTAAGAATATCTCAGCTTTTATTTTTATTACCTTATTTTGCAGTCGGGGTCTTCTTGGAAACATTGCTGACTTTTTGAACGTGAGCCTTTGCGGCCTGGCAAGGCCTTTCCACGTGGACTGGTACCATCAGTATGATACTAACTTGACCAGAAGCCATAAAACAGTATGACGTCAATAAATATATCATTCTGGAGCATGCATAGCATCTTGACGAGAAGCTGTAAAACAGCATTACATCGATATATATCGTTTTGAAACATGCGTGAATACTTGACAAGAAGCCACACGACAGTGTGAAATCGACATTCGTCACTGTAAAGTATGCATAGCAACTTGAGAAGAAGCTGTAAAACAGCATTAGATCGATATATATCGTTTTGAAACGTGCGTGAATACTATACAAGAAGCCATACGACAGTGTGAAATCGATATACGTCGCTGTGAAGTATGCATAACAAATAGCAACTTGACAAGAAGCTAAAGGCAGTATGACCCTTGATGTGTTCCATAGCAGCTCATTCAGTA